AGGCATGGTGGCACATGCATGCAATCTCAGCTACTCGGTAGGCTGAGGCAGGAAAATCATTTGATGTAAAGGGACGCAGAGGCTACAGTGAGCTGAGATTGTGCCATTGCACTCCAGCCTGGGCAGCAGAGAGAGGCTCCATAAAAAAAGAGAAAGAAAGAAAGAGAGAGAGAAAGAGACAGAGAGAAAAAGTAAGAGAAAGAAAGGGAGGGAGGGAGGGAGGGCCAAGCCTGTATTTATAAGTTTTTATAGCAATTTGACATTGTCGGCACATTATTGTATCGGACTGTATTGTATTGTATATTGTATGTCTAAACTGGATTGAAAATTAAAAACAAATAAACACACAAAACATACTGTGCCTGACTCCACCTGAGTATTTTCTAGGACCCCAATGCTCACTGCTATTACCTGTCAATAACCAAAGTTATTATTATCACCAAATGCCTCAGTCAGGGTTCAGCTGGAAACAGAGAATTTAATATAGGAAACTACTTACAAAGATCCTAGAGAAGCTGAAGAGATGAACGACAGAAAGCGAGTTGAGTTAGATTTTGACAGAAGCAGGAAACTGCCACCATAAGAGCACAGAAAAAGGAGATAATGCCCTTGGCACCCAGCTGTTGGACCCAGTGAAGGGACCTGATCCATAACAAGAAAAAATAAGGACTGCCCCCCAGAAAGTGAGACCATGGAAGACACATAGTTGCTGTCTATTTAATTGAACTAATACTGAGTTAATTTTTGTCTCTGTTACTGACATTGAGCAGAATGAAAAATTGCCTGGAGAACTCTAGATTGCCAAATATTATGAATAACCAAATAATTATGCAGAGGGAGGCTCAAATTGTTTAGGTTCTTTCCAGTTATAAAACTGATTTATGCTTGAGAACTGAGATGCTCTGTCCACTTGTATGAAATAAATACATAAGCTCTTATTTTTTTGGCATGATACTTTCACCCACTTTTAGATTTACAGATATTTTAAAAGATTATGATGGCAGGATTATGCTTGTGCTGTATGTGGACTATTAGATTAATCTATGCACTTTTCACATTTTTACAATGTGAAATAAGGCACTAAATACATGGGTTCTTTTTAAACTATTGTGGTAAGATGAATTTAGAATATTAGGGTGCTTACTTAATAGAAATATAATCCATCTGTTTGGGGTAGAGCTCACCAATTCTCATTTTCCCTGGAATCAAAATTCAAAGGTGGCATGAATAACAGAAATCCTAACTTCATCCAAACTTCTTCCTAATCAAATATTGTCACTTCATTAATAGCAAAAAAATAAACTTTTTTTTCTCCTTTCTACCATTAAACAGCAGAGATGCTAATGAACAAAATAGACAGCAAGTAAGAGAAAACAAAGAAAAAAGGACAAGTAAGGAATATTAGGTGTCTGGGCTACCGATGGCACCAAAACATCCTAAATATTTTCCTCTTTTAAAACAACTTTAAAGTAGGTACACAGATTGTAAGTCTTAGAGTTCAATGTGTATTTTTTCCTGAGCTTTTTTTTCAACATGTATGTTATGATTTCTAAATGTTTGGTAAAGATATAGTCAGAAGTTTATGTAGGCATTCAATTTTTCAGTTATCTGTATCAGTCTAATGGATGAGCAATGGAATTTCTGACATTTATAGAAATCACCTGAAAATTGTGAGAAAATTTTCACAAAATATCAGAGTGCTTTTGGTGTAGATGTGAATTTTAGTTCATTCACCCACTCATCCTCCTTCATGCATTCTGTCACCAAATCTCTTATTTTCAGTGTTTCCTTCACCCATCTCATTATTCACATCTTACCTGCACATAGTACGATAGCTTCGATAGCTTTTCCAATTAAACATGTCATCAAACAACCAGCCAAGTGCATTGTTTATTACCACTTCTATGACTATTCTTCCATTCCCCAAAGAAGTAAAAATCAATCTTCTCTGCAGTAGTTTAATGACTCCAAATATTTTTTACATATTCACAAATTACACAATGCCTGAATTTTCTGCTAGTCTGATGACCAGCAGCCAAGACTTTTAAGTAGATATCCTTTTAGAAAATCTAATTTTGCAAATTCTCAGCTAGTTTGTCATAGAAGAGGAATGGGGTGGAGGAATTAATAGAGGGAGAGGGTTTAGGAAAAGACAGAATGGGGTAGGGGAGAGAGCAATTCTACGACCAAGCTCATTATTCTACTCAATCCGAAAGCATCTTCTAAACTGTCTGGTCACAATATAGGAAGGCTAAATCAGAGTATGTTGAATTTTGGGGGGAAAGAAAAGTAACCATATGTTGCCCTTTTGAGGTTTTTTTTTTGGGGGGGGGTTGAAATATGGATACACACACACACATCAACATAGGCTGCAAAAATATCAATGTATAACTGTGACATTTATCCATATGCACATCTTCCTCTGACAGCCTCTACTTCCTATTTAGTTGTTAGGAGTTTTGTGCTAACTAGTAAGCAGAAATGTTAAATATTAGAACAATTTTTTCATAATCACAAAGCATAATAATCTCAGGAATTTTTGATTGGCCGAATTCCCAAACTCTTAGTAAACGTCATAATTGTGCTAATCTTAGAAGGTCTTCCTGTGTTATTTTGTATTAGATGATGGTGTATTTCTCAGAACTCAAACTGCGCTATGCACTAATAACTACCCAACGCAGTTAAGTACCTTAGGAACAAACATGGTCTCGGGTGGCTCCTTATGAATCTCACTGGACTGTAAACTACATGAGAACAAGAATGTAGCTAACCCCTTTTGAGATTTTCCTCATTACTTAGCAAAATCAGAGCAGCTCACAAAGCTTCATCTGATACTCATTGAGATAAATACATATTCTGATAGTGTTATAATTACTGTGTCACTTTATTTGCAGAAACTTCTCATCCCTAGGAATTGCTATGGAATCTCCACATTGCAACATCTCCTACACAACTGAGTCCTGAGCATAGAACATGCTTTCATCATGGAGAAACCCCTAATCTGAGTGTAGCTACCAAAACCCATGAAGGGGTCTTTCCCAACTGAGGACACACATCAGAAGCCAGGAAAGAATGAAAATGAGGGATTGCAGCAACATCTGACTCTTACGTGGATTTGGAAAGATTCACAAAGCCACACATTTAAGAATTACGAATGGCAAAATATTCTTGTTAATTTCTAATGAGAAAAATGTTATTTTTGTGTGTATCAAATATTATATTTCAGAAAGTGGAGTTGTGATGATGGCCCTTGAACTAAACAAGGTGTGAATCACTCAGGCAAAGGTGTGGGGATGATGGGGGAATGCAGGAAAGTGAGCTTTTCGGAATGCTAGAAAAGCTAGAGGCAGAGGTGTTTTTTGGATATGCCTCACAGATGACTCTTCTTTCTCCTTCCAGGAGACTGTGGCCTAGGTAATATTTTCTTAAATTATAATTTTAGTTCTTCTAGAATGGAAATGTAAGCTCTAAGTATAAAAGAGAAGAAACAGAAGAACTACTGAGCTTGTCAGATTCTGAGAGATGTTTTTCTGTCTGGTCTGGGTTACCTATAGCTGCATCTGAGCAATTAGACAGACAGTATATGTCTTCTATTCTTGATTAATTAAATTGGCTCATTAAACTGGGCTAAAGTGGGTGGATTACTCAGGGTTCTTCAGAGAAACAGAACTGAATTAATTGAGATATATTTGTATCTCATTAATAAATAAGATCTATTATTATTTATAATACTATTGTCATAGTGACAGTATCGCATATAAATTAATATATATTAATTATGGAAATTAGCTTCCACTATTATGGAGACCAAGAAGTTTCATGTTCTGCTATCTGCAAGCTGGAGAACTAAGAAAACTGGTGGAGTAATTCTGTCTGAATCTGAAGGCCTGAGAACTAGGGGTGTCAATATCCAAAGACAGGAGAAGAAGATGGATATTTCTAGCTTGAAAAGAGAGCAAATTTGCCCTTCCCCTGCCTTTTGTTTTTTGCAACCCTTAATGGCTTGAGTGATGCCCATCCATGTTAGAGAGGGCCATCTGCATACTTGGTTCACCAATTAAAATGCTAATCTCCAGACACACCCTCAGAGACATACCCAGAAAATAATGTTTTACCAACTATCTGGGCATCCCTTAGCCCAATCAAATTGACATATAAAATTAACTATCACAGTGGGTGTGTATGCCTATGCATCTTCTTTTCCCACCTGTCTCAGTCTGTTTAGGCTGCTATAACCAAATACCTTAAACTGGGTGGTTTATAAACAATAAAAATGTATTGCTCAACAGTTCTGGAGTCTGAGAAGTCCAAGATCAAGGCATTGGCAGATTTGGTCTTTAGTGAGACCTCACTATGTGGTGCATGGGTGACACCTTCTCAGTACTCACATGTTGAAAGGGCAAACAAGTTTCCTCAGAGCTTTTTCGTAAGGGCACTGATGCCATTCATATGGGCTCTACTCTCAGAACCAAATCACCTCCTAAAAACCTCAGCTCTTAGTACTATTACACTGCAGATTAGGTATTAACATGTGAATTTTCAGAAGGATACAAACATTCAGACCATAGCAGCACTAGTTGCATTTTCCATGTAACTTTATAAATACAAAGAGGCTATGTTATACAAATATATACAGTCTACTCCTTCATTTGCATTTAACCAAGTAAGATGTTGATGAAGTAAATATTATGTTTATTTCCCTGTGCCTCAAAGTCTTATAAAAAGGATTTATGTTAAAAAGCATTTTAAAAATAATGTTAGGCAATAAATCTTGATTTTCAATGTTTTATGTGGTTGAATAATGTCTAAAAGAAACCGTTACATAAAAAAACAGAACATATACTTAAAATGAAAGCTCATAATCCATATTAATTTAGCAAAAGTAATTAATTTTAACTTCCATAAATGATGGTCTTATTTGGAGACTGAAATATCACTACAAAATGTTTTCTCATTTTGAGATGTAATCCTTTTTTATAAGCAAGACATAATTTTAATGGTTACAGTATAGCAGTAGAAAATTTAGACTATGAAAAATACTGAATATTTAGATGCTTGTCATATATTTTGTGCTTTATTAATTCTATTTTATGTATATGTATTTTAAATATGTAATTTTACTTTTCATTGTTATATTTTATTTTTCTTTTCTACCAAATAAAATGATTGGTAAGGACCATTGTACATTCTAACATCTCGGATTATATCAGATTGACGAAACATCCGTAAGAGTTTGAAGACCACTTAACTGAGGAGTGGCACTAAAGTTCAAAAGTTTATGATATCTTTCTGTATACTCTCTGGTTTCTGCAGGGCTGCCATATAAACCACATAGCCTACACTGTTTAACTCCATAGACCTTGCCACAAATGGCACCCTCTGGGGTAGTGCTCGCAGCAACCCTGGTGCTAAAAATTTGATTTTGTGAATTTTTCTTTTTCCCCCCTCAGAGTCTAATTTCCTCAGGCACAGTAGACTCAGTGTTGTAGCCAAAAGCATACCATAGTCATTTCACAAACTATTTTGTGACTTATACTGACATTTCTGAAATGAGTCAATGTGATGTAACTGTGTTATTCATAAGCTAATAAGTATATTCCAGCATCTATCTATCTCTATATAAGTAAATGTATTAATGATTTCAGCGAGAGAAACTCTTTATGGTTATTAATGATTAAATCTGTTAAGTAAGGACAAACCAATTTCAATGCAGAAAGTTATATAATTTAAAAGGGCATTTTAATAAACCATTATATAAAGAATAGTTTAGTGTGTACAGGCCTCAATCTTCAGCCTTAACTGTAACACTAAATAAAACAATTATATAACTTATGAAAATGCATTGCATCTGTAATTGTGTACATAATGAGAGATTTTCCAATGATCCATTCATTAAATTGTATAATGTTCAATATGCATAAAATGCAGAAGGCCTAGGGGGAATTATAAGCAAATTATGAAATGTGATTTCTATCTAAGTACAGTAGTTTTCAATTTCTTTAGGTGGCTGAATAAACTCATGAAGAAAACTGGACAGACGAAAAAAGTCAAATAAATATAATGTTAAGATCATGTTCAGATAAGTTTCAAATAGGTACTTCTCTAAGTCACAATTACAATAGTTTTCTGGAGGAAACAAAGTTTTGTTTATTGCATGTTTTGAGACAGGGTCTCAATCTGTCACCCAGGCTGGAGTGTAGTGGCTGGATCTCAGCTGACTGCAACCTCTGCCTTCTAGGCTCAAGTGATCCTCCCACCTAAGCCTCCTGAATAGTTGGGAACACAGATGTGTGCCACCACATGCAGCAAATTTCTATTTTTTTTGGAGAAATGAGGTTTTTGCCATGTTGGTCTCAAAACCTGGGTTCCAGTGATCCTCCTGCCTTGGCCTCCCAAAATGTTGGGATTACAGGTGTGAGCCATTGCATCTGGCCAGGAAACAAAGTTTTAACAGGATTTTATATAATGAAAAGGTTAAAAAAAGGAAAGTAAGTTTCCTCTGGTAGAAAAATTACAATCATGAATTAAAGAAGGTGGAAATAACAAAAAAATCGGTAACTTCTCTAAAGAGTCCATGATAGACAAAGGTTATAAAAAGGAAAGCATGTGCATAAATGATGAGAATAAGAATCATAGGTGATGACCAATAGTACACTAACCAACTGGATGCTCACTTTTAAAAACATTTCAAGTGATTATAGATGCTCAAAAGAGTTAATAGCTATTTATCTTTAACTTTAATATAGAATAATATTGTTGAGTATTTTTATTTTTGTTGACTTACATGATTAAATGTACAAATAAAAACAAAATTAAAATATACCATAATATGAATCATAATTATTATATTATAGATATTATATGATTTAATATCCAACACATTTTTATATAAAACAATTATTTTGAAATTATACATAAAAAGAACTGTCAAATTTTGGAGTAAGAAAAAATTTCAGTCTATATTTTTCAAATTGTCTTAATTTAAAATTTAGATTAGGATCAACCAAAAGTATTACAAATATTAAGCCCCTATGAAACTTAAGATTCCCAAAGAAAAATTAAGCAAATAGATCTTTAAGATCTTCTATGTTCTCAAGACTAAATACAAAAGGAAATGTTTCTTTTGCTTATTAGTAAAATTGACAAGGAACTATTGAAATGCCAGAAATTAAATCAAAACTATTTAGTTTTGATTTCTGGGAACAATTTTTTAAAAAATTTATACTGAAGAACATCATATGTAGGTCATAAACTCTGGATACACTATACACATTAATTTCTCCTCCCCAATAATAGTTCAGACAGTGAGATATCTAGAGTAGAAAAGTCAAACATTTTCTCTGGTAAGCAAACCTGGTATAATAGTAGCTCAGATTTTTTTGTTTTTGTTTTTGTTTTGTCTTTCCTGATGGACAGGTCTGACATACTCTGTATTGTCCCATGAATAAATGACTTTGAGTAGCCTAAAGGCATTTCTCCATGTATATGGGGTTGGAACTTTTTTGGTTGAGGTAAGGTGAAGGCAGAAAAATAAATTTTTTTTTTAAAAAAAGAGCTTTTATATGTTAAAAAAATTCTTTTAAGCAAATAGATACTAATTATTCATAAAAAGATTACAGCATACTTTGTGTTTAATAAAATACTTGCAAGAAAGAATAAGCTACCTAAGTTACATGATACTGTAACTATACCCGGCACAACGAAGGACTTACTGTATTTTTCCACATGTTGAGGTAAACCACATGATGTACAAGTAGTGGAATAACACCAGCCACAAGTATGCCTGCATATTTCCAGTTTCTGTTCCTTTTGATTTACTTGGCTTTCTTTCCTCTGTAGTGATAAGAAAAATTTTTACACTCTTAAAAGAGAACTTAAGAATACAATTTTTTAAAAGAGAAATTTCAGATACTACTTCAATCACAGAAAAAGTAGAAAGTATCTTTGGTATTTCAACAAATAACAGGCAAAGCCAGCCAGTCATTCACAGCAATACAGGTAATCAAAGATTAAAGAATCTAAAACATATGCTGAATATAATGTTCGCGTGATTGTGTAGAAATAGATTTGGAATTCACAAAGCAGGATGAAGCCTTAACAGTTATGTACTCAACAAACTATAAGTGTAAGTTATATGTAATGTTGTTTTACAAAGACAAGTTGGAATTAGGAAGAAGACTAGAAAAAAAATGCAACAAGAATAGGCATATTGTAAAGAGAGCTCACTCATTCACTTATTTATTAGCTCACTCATTCAATTAGCCAACATAGATTGCAAAGTTTCTTTATCTAGGCTCTGCCTAAGGCTCCTGGGGTACAAGGAGAGCTCTTGTGAACTTGAAACTGCCTGTTCTCCTGGAAGAAGACCAAAAGTAATGAAACAATAAATGTACAAGATATTTCAAATGATGATAAGTTGAACTATTTGTTTTAAATGGGATGATGCTATAGGAAGCAACTGGCAATAGTGGTGTGTAGTTTGATCAGGTGGTCAGGAAGGGCTCACTGGAGAGTTGGCATTTGAGCCAAGATCTGAGGAAGTAGAAGGAACCAGCCATGTAAAGACGAGAGGAACGTGAACTCAGGAAGAGGAAATAGCCATTGCGAAGGCTCTCAAACAGGAATGAGCTAGGTGTGTCTGAGAAAAAGGAAGCCGAGTATGAGTTTCGTGAACAGGGAGTAGTGGCAGGTGAGGTTGGAGAAGAGAAAAGGCCATGGTAGGACATTTATATTTTATTTTTTATTTTATTCCAGAGTGAAAACCATGGAAGCTGTACAATCCTCTTTACGTTCCTGTAGGATCACTCCAACTCCGGCATCACAATGGGGAGTGGTGCAGTGAGGAGGTGCATAGGAAGTGAAGTTGGGAGACTGGAAACTCCGCAATGGTCCAAGGAAGCAGAGGTCAGTCGCTTGCACCAAAGTGGAAGCAATGAATATGAAGAAACGTTTAGTTTGTATTTTTGGAGTAAAGCCAAGAGAACTTTAAAATGGATTGTATCGTAGGGGTGAGAAGATATAGAATAGGGAAAAAAGATAAATACTGACAATAGAAAATATAAATGGACGCTAAAGAAATGCTAGCAAGAAATATCTTGGGTATCAAATGATCCTAGTTGATATCTTAGAAGATATCTTGCTCAACCTCATATCTAAAATGTCTACACCATTGCGGGCTGATGGTCAGATAACTTCTGGTTAAACACTCCAGTGAGGAGAACACCTTTGGAAAATGCTATTTGATTAGTGAGGGCCAATCTCCTTCCCTCGATCATAGCTAAATAGGAGATAGTCTTGAGGCCTTTTGTTTTTAAAAAGTCAATACGAAACTGGAAAGGTAAATTTGGCGAAAAATGTTAATTTCAAAGTGTGAGAAATAGCCCTTCTCTTACTTTCAAAACAGGAAAAAACAGTCTAGTTTTTATTATCACATTTTAAAGATAGCAAAGGTAATTGGAAATAGGTCACAGGAGGACTGAGAGGAGACAAACTCTTAAAGATTTTATGAGTGTCTGGGTGGTAAGATGGAGAATAGGCAGATCACTTGTTCTGCATTTCTGTAAAGGACTAGGTATAAAGGAGTGACATCAATTAGAAATACAAAATATTCTATTTTGCTGTCAAGAAGAACTTTGTGGATTTAAAAAGCAAAATGCTGTAGTATTCTTTTTAGTACTGGTACTAAAACAATTAGGTTACAAAACAATTAATTCTGGATCATCAAGACCATCTATTAAAAGCAGAAGTCCTTATGATCCTCTAATGTTCAAAGAGGGTTATTTGTCTAAAGAGTGAATTAAAACTCTCCCAATTGCCTGATGTGATTGAGCATGGGTCATAGTATACCAGAAATGCTGTTATTTCCTTTTAGGGCCAGGAGGGATTTTATAGTTAACAGAAGAAAACAGAGAAAGAGATACTTTATCACAAACATGCAAATTTCACAATTTATAGATCATTTTTCTAGTAAAAAATGATGATATAAACTATAAGCTACTAAAAATAACTTATAACCTATTGGGTTAAAAATGCACAAAGAAAACAACTAAACAAGATTTCAACATTTTTGTTCAAAACTACTTTAAAGAAGAAAACAAAGTTGAAGGAATTTTACTAATGAATACTAACACTTGTTATAAAACTATAGTAACTAAAACATGAAATAAACTATATTAAAGTTAGGAAGTTCTCTTCATCAAAATGTAAACCACCGAGTAGGGGAAGACATTTGCAATATGTATGAGTGACAAAAGATTCATCTACAAAGTATGAAAAGAATTCAACAGACTTAACAGACAACAAAGAAAACTGGACAAATACTTCAACAGACATTCACAAAAGAGGAAATCCAAATAATCAGCGTATTAGTTCATTTTCACACTGCTGATAAAGACATACCCGAGAATGGGAAAAAAAAGAGGTGTAATTGGACTTACAGTTCCACCTGGCTGGGGCGTCCTCAGAATGACAGGAGGAGAAAGGCACTTCTTAACATGGTGGTAGCAAGAGAAAGTGAGGAAGAAGTAAAAGCAAAAGCTCCTAATAAACCCATCAGATCTCGTGAGACTTAATATCACGAGGATAGCACAGGAAAGGCCTGCCCCCCTGATTCAATTACTTCCCACTGGCTCCTTCCCACAACAGGTGGGAATTCTGGGAGACATAATTCAAGTTGAGATTTGGGTGGGGACATGCCAAATCATATCAATCAGTAAGTATTTAAAAAACCCACAGAAATGTAAATTAAAACTACATTAAGTTACCACTACATAATCAGAATGGCTGAAATTAAAAAACATAAAGCAAAAAAGTGAATGGGTTGTGAGATGACCGGAGCTTGGATACACAGTAGGTAGGAGTATGAATTTTTACATATACCTTGTCAATGTCTACTAAAATTTAGCACAATCATACTCTAAGACCCAGTAATTCTGTTTCTAGGTATATGTCAAAAATTGTGTGCATAAGAATGTGCATAGCAGTAATATTTATAAGAGCTAAATACTGGGGACAAATGAATGTCCTCAACAGAATGGATAAGTCAGTTGTGGTGTATTCATATAATGTAATAGTAAAAAGCATGAAAATACATTAGCTACTGATATGTGCAACCACAAAGGTGAAACTCACAAACACATCACTAAAAGAAGCCAAATACAAAAGAATGTGTACCCTATAATTTCGCTTATGTGATGTTTAATAACAGGAAAAACTAATCTATGGTTTCATAGTCAGGATAATAGTTACTTTTGAGGAACAAACTAGCATTTGTAATTGGGAGACAGTAAAGGGGAAGCTAAGAGGTTCTGGCAATTTGATGTTTCTTTAATAGGTGGTAGCTACATGAGGGTTCACTTTACGACAATTCAGTAATCTTACATTTAAGATCGGTACATTAAGTTATACTTTAAATATATAAGTATGTAAATATGCTTGTAAATCGCATTCTAATCAAAGATATCTAAGTACGTGTGTTCATGAAAGTCATCTTTCAATTAGAATTTTCTTAAACATATACAAAGAAATGAGGTAAGTAACACTTTAAAGTTTTTAATCATAAACATAGCCTTTTGCATCTCAGAAAATATAAAGTTGCATATAATTGAATAAAACAAACGAACAAACAAAAACCCTGACAGAAACAGATTCTAAAGAGATCTCAACAGGTTGGGACAATAAACCCAGTCTACAGAGTTAAGTTGAATTGGCATAAGTATAAAGTCATCCTCATGTGTTTATAGGAGCAACAAATAACATACTCTTAAGTAGCCAACAGCACATACAAAAGAAATCCAAGGGTTATATGTGGGGAGGTTGACAGCACATACAAAAGAAATCCAAGGGTTATATGTGGTGATTTAAATGTTGTCTAGGTCATAGCTCTTAATTGATTCCCATTAACCTCTTCCTAAAATACCTATAATGATGCTAAGAGTAAAATAAAAAGACCAAAACTGCCAGCCAACCTATTTCAAAAGTGAGACAATTCTCTGAGATAATTTTCCATAAAGTATTTAAAAATCAGTGGAGTTGAATTGGAATTGCAATTGCTAGCCTAAAGCTATTTGGTCAGAAGAAATGGAGCAAAGCTATTGGCAAGAATAAATGTTACATTCTTGCAACAAGAATAAATTCAGCATTTTCTTCCTCACTTCCTGCCAACCACAACAGAAAACGAGTCTGTACCATTCAGAGAACAAACAATGGCCTCGTTATTTGATCTCTTCATTTTCACCAATAGCTCTCTTTCCATCAAGGAGAGTGCAACCCCCTGAAGAGAAGAAGGAAGGAAGTTGAATATGGGACCAGCGGTGCCCACTCTAAGTCTAGGCAGAATCTAGATGTGAACAGCCTTGTATTTGTGAATGGCATGAAATAATCTTCTAAGAGAAATAGGCATTAGGTGGAAAAAAAAAACCCGTCATATTCCAGTTGAACTTCATGAAATAAAAACCTGCTAGACTTTAATAAATGCAATGAAGGCAACCATATAAATTAATATGATAACTTCACTATGGGGGAGGATGTTGCTATTTAAAATGGGGAACTCAAGGAAGCCACTTCAATAGGCAATCTTTGAGTTGAGATCTGAATGACACAATGAAGCCAGCCAAGTGAGTGGAACATTCCTGGCAGGGGAAAATCGTGCATTATAGCGCCATTTAAAATAGCTTGAATTTCTTCAGTGGTTTCCTACTATCTTCTGCATAAAACCCAAACTTCCTAGGCTGAAATGCAGTAGATGTTAGGTAAAGGGATGAGTGAATGGATGGTTCCTGAAATTTCTGCATATAATTGATCCATAGTATGTCTCTTTAGTCTTTTGACATCTTTCCCTTTGTCCTCAATTTCTAAAAAAACGAAGTTACCACTAATAATTCTAAAAGAGAATTTGCTTGGTTTTTTAATAATTTGGACTGGGAGACATGAACCTGAGCCAGTATTAGGGTGAGACAAATGAGGTGCCCAGGGCACAACATTTAAGGAGGCTCTCACTCTCAGGGTGGTATAAATGCCAGCCCTCAAGGGAAGGGGCAAGTAAATGCACCTGACAGAAAAGGTAAAGATGTGAATCTGTTTTACGTTCCCTCTGAATGCTTATTATAGAGCAATGTCAGCAGAGGGGGAATGAATAATCAAGTGAAGAGGATAAACATTTTTATGGATACCAGTCAGCTTCATTCCCCAGCCATCCCTGTCATTGCCTCATGGGTTCATGAAAAAAATGACCACAGTGCCAAGGATGGAGGTTATGCACAGAATTAGCAACATAAACTTCCACTCACCAGGTCTGACCTGGCTACTGCCACTGATGGGTACCCTATCTCAGAGACCAATACTGAGCCCTCAATATGGCACCATTCCCCAGGGTGAGGAACTAGCTACCTGGGGGCAGGTTGATCACATTGCACCACTTCCGTCATGCAAGAAGCAATGCTTTGTTCTCACTTCAATAAACAACTACTTGGGATATGGATTTGCCTTTCTTGCCTGTAATGCTTCTGCCAAAACCAACATCCATGAACTTACAGAATGCCTTATTCCACATAGCATTGCTTCCATTAAGGAGCCTATTCCATGTTGCCACCATGAAATGTGGCAGTGGGCCCAGGCTCATGGAATTTACTGGTCTTATTCTGTTTTCTACCATTCTGAAGCAGCTGGTGGAGTCGCCTTTTAAAGACTTTGTTATAGCATCAGTTAGGTGGTCAGAGAAATTTCCTCCAGGATGCAATATATGCTCTAAATCAGTTGCTTCCTCCCAACCCAAGAATCTAGAAATCAAAGATTAGAAACGTCTTACTATGACTTCTAGTGATCCATAAGAAAAATGTGTGCCTTCTGTTCCTGCAGCTTTAAACTCCAGAGGACTTAATTCCAAAATGAGGAAAGCTTCTATCAGAGGTTACAATTGCATTGAGCTGGAAGTTGAGATTGTCACCTGGCTACCATAGGATCCTCAAGTATTTGCCAACAGGCAAAGAAGCTATTACAATACTAGCTGTGATGACTGATCACAATCATTAAGGGACAATTAGGTTGCTACTTCACCATGGGGATAAGGAGCAGTATGTCTGGAATGCAGGATATCGCCTGGGGCACTGTTTAGTAATTTCAGATTCTGAGATTAAAGTCAGTGGAAATTTAAAAACTTAATTCAAACAGGAATACTAATGAGCAAACTCTTCAGGATCTGAAATTTTGGTTACTCACCAGGTAAGGAACCATTACCAGCTGAGGTACTTCCTGAGGGCAAAGGAAATGTAGAACGGGTAGTAGAAGAATTTAGTTACAAATGCCAAGCTATGACCATGTAACCAGTTAGAGGTCTGAGTGCTGTAACAGTTATGAGTATTTATTCCTCATTCTTATAGTCATGTGTATAATATTTTTTATTTTCTTTCCCTCTCTCATTCTTCTCCTTTCTAGCTAGTTAACTTTATCTCAGTAGCTATGTGTTTGACTTAGAAGACATCAGATGAAGAGTGTTAATCAGCTGGAAGGAGGATAAACGATCTCAGAAAAAGAAGGGTCTTTACATCTACGTTTGGGGAAAGAATTACCTTTATTTTGCTGTGTGGCTCATGTTTGGTTGAAAGCAATGTTATGCTTATTTATATTTGAAAACTAAGTATGTTTTAAAAAGATATGTATGGATGGCATGTTGAAAAGGAACGGACTGGGGTGGTTTTGTAAGGTGTCAACTTTCAAGGATGTACTGTTCCCTTCCCTGTATATTTCCAGTTAGGGTCAACCATAAAGATATTTTCATGTAAGATTTGGAATGCAGGAATAAAGCAGCAGCTGATTTGCTTGACAGGTTGGTGTAGATATCTTTTGTAGCTAACTCCTATTATTGCTGCTCATCAGCTGACTAACCTCACTGATTTGGGCAACACCTAGACCTGCAATGTAATTATTATAATATGAAAGTCTTATTTAATTGGGCTTGCAATTTGTTATAATAAATATTATAATATTTATATTTAATATGTATTTATATATTTTAACTATATATTTAATATATTTTAATCACTTTAAAAAATCTACAAAATATCTACATATTAAAAAGAAATAATACAATTATATTATAATAATTATTATATTATTAATATTTATATATTTAATATTTATTTATTATGTTATTATGTTACATATAAATAATATTTATAAGAAATATATAAATTAAAATGCAATGGGCTGTAATAGATAAAACAATTTTGGAAAAATGGCCAGTGTTGGAGGACAGTTGGAGGACTTACCAAGGCTCTCTGTAATTGAGACATTTTTGTATTAGTGAAAAAATTAGCACACATACTAATGGAACAGAATAAACAGTATGCTTGAAATGTAGATGATTTCCAATGGTACTTATTACTTCCATGTTCTATGAGTAAACCTACACATATATTATCCTTTGATTTTAAGCAAAGATGTCAAGGAAATTTAATGTAAGAAAGTAAATCTTTTTAACAGATAGTGT